GGGTAGAGTGCTGTGGCATCACAGCTCACAGCAACCTCCAACTCCTGGGCTCAAGCAATTCTCCTGCCTCCACCTTCCAAGTCGCTGGGACCACAGGCGCCCATCACAGCACCTGGCTATATTTTGGTTGCAGCCGTCATTGTTGTTTGGCGGCCCGAGCTGGATTCACCAGCTCGGGTGTATATGGCTGGCGCCTTAGCTGCTTGAGCCACAGGTGCCGAGCCTAAACATGTATTTTCACGCAAGCATTTCCACAAACAATAACATCTTTTGTATTCTCAAAACAATCCATGCCCCTCTTGGGTTAGGACCTTTTTAGGGCCCTCCTGCTAACCTAAGGACTTTGGTCTTGATCTGGAAGTTCTAGGAGCCAGTATTGCATTTTATTTTATTTTTTACTTTATTTATTTTTTTTTTGAAGCAGAGTTTCACTTTGTTGCCCTTGGTAGAGTGCCGTGGCATCACAGTGCATAGCAACCTCGAACTCTTGGGCTTCAGCGATCCTCTTACCTCAGTTTTTCTGTTTCTTTCTTTCTTTTTTTTTTTTTTTCAGAGACAGAGTCTTATTTTATTGTCCTTGGTAGAGTGCAGTGGCATCACAGCTCACAGCAACCTCCAGCTCTTGGGCTTGGGTGATTCTCTTGCTTCAGCTTCCCAAGTAGCTGGGACTACAGGTGCACACCACACGCTTGGCTATTTTTTTGCAGTTTGGCTGGGGCTGGGTTCAAACCTGCCACACTCAGTATATGGGGCTGGCACCCTACTCACTGAACCACAGGCACCACCCTCAGTTTTTCATTTTTAGTAGAGACGAGGTCTCACTCTTGCTCAGGGCTGCTCTCGAACTCCTAAGCCTAATCAATCCAGCTGCCTCAGCCTCCCAGAGTGCTAGGATTACAGGCGTGAGCCACTGTGCCTGGCCCAGTATTGCATTTTAAGAAGTGAAATCATTAGAGCCTGACATGTGCTTTTGCCAGCGAGAACTCTTTGTGGCTTTCCCAGTGCTAAGCTTCTGCACTCGCTGTTACCCCAGCCTTGACCAACCTGTCTTTGTGTCCTGTGTCCAACCACCATGTTCCAGCTGCAAGCCTACAGTTTTGTCCCTCTGTGAAAAACTGTGAGGTTTAGGGCAGTGCCTGTCGCTCAAAGGAATAGGGTGCTGGCCCCATATGCCAGAAGTGGCAGGTTCAAACCCAGCCCCAGCCAAAACCTGCAAAACAAGCAAATAAAAAACTACCCCCCCCAAAACCTGTGAGGTTTTTTTTTTTTTTTTTGGAGACAGAGCCTCAAGCTATCCCCCTGGGTAGAGTGCCATGGCATCATGCTCACAGCAACCTCCAACTCCTGGGCTCAAGGGAGTCTCCTGCCTCAGCCTCCCAAGTAAGCTGGGACTACAGGTGCCGGCCACAACGCCTGGCCATTTTTTGGTTGCAGCCATCATTGTTGTTTGGCGGCCGGGCTGGGGATTCCAACCCGCCACCTTAGGTGTATGTGGCTGGCACCTTAGCCGCTTGAGCCACAGGCACTGAGCCAAAACCTGTGAGGTTTAAATGAGACCATGATGTCTTGAGGATTTAATAACAGTATTTGGGGGGGAGGGGAGGCAAGTGCCCAGCATATAGTAACATTCACTCAGTGAATGTTAGTTGTGTCTTGGGTTGGTGGCTCAGCTGTCCAGGGATGGAGCTTTCTATGCAGGTGCTTATGTTGCCAAAGAGCTTTGTGAGTTTCTCAACACACTGTATTAAATTCAGGTGTAATGAGATCACACCTGGAGAGCAGTCCAAGTAGGGACACCTTTCTGTTTTCCAGATGAGGAAACTAAGGCTCAGAAAGGCTGAGAGATTTACCTGTAATCAGCACATTAGTGTCCGGAAGGATCTGATCACCACATCCTCTGAAATAGTGACAGCAGCAATAGTTAACATTTATGATGTTTACTATGCCAAATGCAGTTTACCTGCATCATAATCAGTAATTTCTCTGGGGCAGGTTGTCGGTTCCATGTTATCCCTATTTAAAGGGAGAGAAAACTGAGGTTCAGAGAGGTTAAGGAAATTACCCGAGGTAACCCAGGCTAGTATGTTTCAAAGTCGAGACTCAGACCTTAATCTGACTAACTACAAAGAAATCCGTTGTCATTCTCCTCTCTGAAAACACTACTCCCAACTGTTCAGTTCAAAACCCCACCCCAGGCTGCCTTGCATCGAAGTCCGTGTCCTCTAGCCAAGTCGTTCTTGTTTTGATCAAGGATACAGAGGGCGCTGCCTGACGTTACAGGGGGCCGAGGGTAAAGGTGGGGGTCCAGTGTGGAAATTTAGGTGCTGGGGCGTGTACCAGACGGAAAGTGTAAGGGTACTAGCAGGCGAGTCACGTGCGTGTGAAACTCGACCTAAGGGGAGGAGAGGGGGAGGGGAAGGGGAGGGAACCCCCGCCCCCACCTCGGGGCTCTGGTAAATACAACCATCAACATCAGAGCTCCACTTAGTCCGTGTCCCAATTCGTGGGTCTGTGGCGTTCGGCAGATTCCTAATTCCCCGACTTTTTCTGAGGCGGCAGAGGTGAGAACCGGCTGTCTGTCGGGCTGAAGCTCCGAGGCGGCCGGGACCCGGCATGCAGAAAAGATCCCAGCGCTGGTGAGGCTGGGCGCTGGGCCCACCGGACCCCGGACGCGGAGAGAGTGGACGCGCCGCAAAGACGCAGCGCCCCGCGAGGCGTCCGAAGCTGCAGGAGGCTCGTTTGCCAGGAATCGGAGGTGAGCGGCGGGTATGGGGTCCCCGGCTGCGCGTCGGCGGAAAGCCACCCTCCCGCCGCAGCTCCCAGGCTCCCCTACTAAAGTCCGTTAGTTACCTGAGCTGGTGAACCCCGCGGCAGATTTGTCCAGTCCCTCGGAGCACTTCCTCCCCTCTTTTTTACTCCAGTCCCTCGACTCTTCTCTTTCCCTCAGGGTCCCCTCTAGTTGCACTTCCTCTGCTTAGACTTAGAGCAACCCTCTTGTAGCAGAGCTCGACGAACCCCGGAGCCCGAAATCAAAGCCCCATTTCACAGATGAGGGTACTGAGGCCCCGGTGGGAGAGGCGACTCGCGCTTTCCTCCCCTCGCTTTGGGTCTTTCTTCCTGTCCTTTCTTGTTCTGCTCTCTGCTTTCCCCGATCTCACTCCGCTGTTGCTCCCCGCCCCTTCGCCGCCCGCGTTCCCTCTCCTCCCGCGGTGGCGGTAGCGGCCGCGGCGGGGGTAGCTCGGGCAGCTTCCCTCCCTCTGGTAAACACACCCGCCCGCCAGCCCATCCGCCGCCGCTGCCCTTATAAAGTCAGCAGCTGCCGGACTTCCTGCTGAAGTCCGAGCCCCCTCCCAGGGCTAAGAGGGGGCGACCGGGGTCCGCGGCGCGCAGCGCGGTGCCCCGTGCCGGGCTGAGTGAGTGAAAGGCGCGCGGGCAAAGGGGGCGCGGGACGGCGCGCCCTGGGTCTCCCTCCACGTGGCAGCTGTGGGCTTGGCCCACGAGAATATCTGCTCTTGGATCTCCCAGTGTGGAAAGGGGGAGGGCTTGCTCTCGCTCAGCCCCAGAGGGGAGGAGTGGTCTTAGATGGGGCAACAGGAAGGGGGGGTATTCGGCAGCCTTAGACTTCCCCTTCCTCCTCCCGCCGGGGTCTGGGGGTCCTTTCTGGCGCTAGAGGCCGGACATAGGCCAGCAGTGCTTCAGAGCGCGCTCTGCCCCTAGCTGACCTCTGGGGACTTGGGGAAGTGCATTTTTGGCCCCCTGCAGCCGAGCTCCGCGCGCCCTGGCCTGGGTGGGAGAGCCCGGCTGCGCGCCAGGAAGCTGCAGCGCGCAGACAGGACCTTCCTTGTCTCGGATAGTGGCTCAGCGGGGGCCCATCGCCTGGTGCGCCCCTAGCACTGCTGGTGCGCGTGGAGCTAGCTCGGTGGCACCGACTGGAAAGCCCAGGGCTGTATGGGGCCTCCATGAAGGCCCCTTCGCAGGTTGGCCTGAAGGGTTTCAGGAGCCACTATAATGCAGGATACTTCCCAGAGGCCCCTGGGGGGCCCTTGGATCAGCGCTCTGTTTCTGTTCAGGCTCGCGGCCAGCATGGCCCCCACGCTGCAGCAGGCGTACCGAAGGCGCTGGTGGATGGCCTGCACGGCGGTACTGGAGAACCTCTTCTTCTCCGCTGTGCTGCTAGGCTGGGGCTCCCTACTGATTATGCTCAAGGACGAGGGCTTCTATTCCAGCAAGTGCCCAGGTACACCTGAGAACCGGCCAAGTGGGTTGGGGGAGGGCCGGCAGAGGGAGTTGGTGGAAACCAAAGGACAGGTGGCTTGGTGGACAGAAAGCAGGGATTTCCGGGCTGGGAGCTGGACAGCCTCACTTGTTAACCTCTTCACACTTCCTGGGGAAAATGGGTGGCCTTCTACCCACTCTCCCTCTTTTATCTGATTCAGTAGTCATTGAATGCCAGGTATCCTGCTGCATGTCCGGGTCTTGGGACTAATGGCAGAGTCCTAAGCGTCTTGACAGCCTCAGGTATCAGGTTCTGTGAGGGAGAAGTGTTGCACCTAGCTGGTGAGAGGTTTCTTAAGAGGGCCATTGTAAGGCTAAATAAGACAAAGGAGCACTGCCCAAAGTGGGGTTCAAATGTAAAGGGCCAGCATTCTTCCCTTTTCAGGAAATACGGTTAAACAAAATGTGGATGATCCATGCAATGGAATATTATTCGCCAATAAAAAGAAACTCATTTCAATTCAAGTTGGGGGGAAGGATAATAAGAGGGGGTGTGGTTTGGCTTCCACCAACCCCTATGCCAGCCCTTGGAGCCTCCTCCAGGCTTTCAAATCACCTATTGCAGCAAAGTTGCCTTCATCCAGGATGGGCTGTGTGTGGTAGTGGGGGGTGTCTCCGCTCTTTGTTTCAACCACTTGGCCTCTTGTGAGTGGTCCGGAACAGGCAGGTAGTGGGAATTCTTTTTTTTTTTTTTTTTTTTT